TACAAGAGAATCGTGTGGTGAAATGGTAAGTGTCTCGCTCCATAAGCTGATGGTCCAGGTTTCGATTTCTGTTGCATGTTTTTCGTTTCGCAAGTCCTCAACAGTGTTCAGAATACACTTTTGTTAACAGTGCATTCAGAATGCGTCTTACTACATTTCTCGATGCTGCCCCGTTTTGGATTGCAAATGATTTTTGAGCGGGCTCGGGGCAGAACATCTTCGATTCATGATAACCTCACTCACCAGATGCACGTAGACATGATCGAACACTTGTGAACCATGTTTGGGTTTCGAACTATCTTTGCAAAACGGAAACAAGCAATAGGACTCGAACCCCGGACCATCAGCTTATGGAGCGAGACACCATTTCAACGCACGACCTCCGGCAGTCGTCGTCGTGTCTCCACTAGACTTGGCGGTGGAACAAGTCATAGGGGAGGAGGCCTTATAACTCCGTTGCGAATGATGCGCGGCAGCTGGGAACAGCAAATTTGGCATCAGCGTTCGAAGCTAATTCCAAATATATGTGTCTTATTCCAAAAGCGCGAGCTAAGTTACGTAGCTTCCCTCGTAAGAAGCAAAGACTACTTCTAGACTGTTCTCTATAACAAAAAGATTACATTCAAAAGTGCGGATCGTTGGCTAGTAAGCGCATAAAGAAGAAAATTGAAAAATGATGAAATTTTTCCGATATCCAAAATTTTGAGGTCAGACGATTCACAAAACAAGCTTCTAGGTACAAACTTGTACATCTAAAGGTAGCAGGCTTCTTAGCTTTCTGCCATAGGTATCAATTCCGTAAATGTATAAGAAAGAAACATTGCAAACAAGAAATTTGGAATAGATGCGAAATTTGAGAATGTAATGGTAACAAATTTCTTAGGTGTCAGTTTGCAAGACATTTTCGTAATGAAATTTCTACACAAGTGCGTGAGCAGATTTCATAGAAGACAATTTCATTCAGTACCGCGAAACTTTTAGGAGATGTGCAAGAAATTACACAAAACCTAGTGCGTAAGATCAGTGACGCAGCTAACGCAGAACTTATGGTCGCTGCGACGCGGTTGCAAACGCGTCGCCGGCTTGAGTGCAGATTACGCCTGGTCTGCGTCACTGGCTCAAGTCTAGTTATTTACGCCAAGACAATAAAAGTTTTTATTTTTCTGCACTAAATGAGTAAATATAAGTTCCAGCTTACGTAGGACATTACGCAGTGGTTTTTATCGTGGCAAATAATTGTGAATTCCGCGAGCAAAGCCATAAATCTGATGATTACAGACTGCTATGCCTGCTTCATTTTACTACCTTGCTGACGTAAATGAACGAATTCTGGGGATTTTTAGCATTCCAGAAACAGAGCATAAATTTAGAATTAACCGTAAAATTTTAAAGCAAAAACACATTGATAGCCGACTTGACAGCGGAATAACAATGACGTGGTAGAAAGTCCATTGTTTTTAACTACTGGTTACCATTGTTGGTGAGAATGACACCAATCTACTTACCGCTTAATGGCTGCCATACATGCTACCATACCAAGCTAATTACTCCAACAACTAAGTAAAATAAGCACTCAACACGCTCACATTATTGTTTTCGACGTCATTTTGATTACTTCAGAAGAGAAAAGACAAAGCACAAACACTTTGAAACCAAGCAGCCAACGTTGAAACCACTAATGGAAGCTGACTAAAGCGCAAACATTTCAGCTGCAAAGTTCTAGCTCAACGCAGCAAAAAAGAGGAATAAATGGTAAATGAGAAGAGAGAAGCCTGGCAATAAACGTGTGCATTTGAAATGATCATTTGGAAATTTCCATTAGTGAGCGGGGGCATTACATTTCTTTTCTAGCGCTTTCTAAACGATATGAGGGCCTTTTAGCAATGCGCAAATGAAACGTATTCATGTGAATTAGAAAGAGGAGAGAAAATTGGATGCAGGAAAAAATCAAATGTAAAGCGAAATTTTGAGAAATAACCTTGCGAAACGTGGGTTTGTCGCAGATATTCACGTTCTAGACTATTTTAGAGTAAAGCACAGCAGTAATGAGGCAAAAACATGCAAATTAGGTAAATTTGTTCCCGTGTAAGGCCCCGGACAGACTTCACGCGATTTGATCGTCGCGACTGAATCGCGACGAGACAACTGTTACAACATCATTCTATTATTCCATCATTCTTTACAACATTATTCCGATCAACTTGCATTTCGGTCGTGATACTTTTCTAGCCCGAAATTTTTGAATGTGAAATAAAAATGAATGGAAGTGTCGGCGATTTAGTCGCGATGATCAAATCGCGTGAAGTCTGTCCGGGACCTAAGAGCTTCTACAGGGTGTCCCAAAAGTTACACACTTTTCAATCGTTAATATCTCTCTTTCCATTGTGTCTTTTTCCGCCATTTAAGTACCATTCTGTAGAGGAGGCTTCAGTCTAGATTTGCAGTATCGAGCGAATCATCGATCACTCTTCATTACTGTAAGATTACTGTGGGAACTTCGACAAGGATTTTAGGCCATTGGAAGCCATATTCTGCCTCGGAACAAAACCAAACAAACCAAAAACTCTTATACCATGGCAATGGAAGCCGCTGATTTTGAATGTAAAATTTCCACCTTGCTGCGATGCTTCTTTCCAAGTTATCCCTGGTAAAGCGTAATAATCGAATTCCCACTATATGTCAGAAATGTGATTATACCGTCAAAAAAGCTGAAAACACTCGTAAAAAGTTGTGAAGTGGAATCAGCGTGCGCAGAAACCCTAGTACACGAATTTTCAGATTTTTAGAAAAAAGATTTTGTCAGATGACACATTTCACAATGGTTCCATATGCTGGAAGTTCTTACCGTAATCCTACAGTAACGAAGAGCGATCGGTGATTCGATCGATACTGTAAATCTAAGCTGAAGCCTCCTCTACAGAATGGTACTTAACTGGCAAAAAAAGATCCGTTGGGAAGAGAGATGTTGACTATTGAAAAATGTGCACTTACTTTTGGGACACCCTGTATAAGTCGAAGCTAATGAACGAGAGCAGGAAGAAGAAGAAAGTGATAAGAAGAAAGAAGAAGAAGTGGAATAATTTTATGCTTAGCATATCACAGTCTAAATGTTTATAAAGTAAAGAAAAACGGACTTGAACTGCTGAAAGTGCTTCTGAAGACAGTTGCAAAAAAGTGGAAGTCAAGCGCTCAAGCCCACATTGCTAATTGATAGTCCCGATGTCGTAATTTGTCAGATGTTTGCAGGAAAAACATGGGAAAAGTGAGAAGCGGCAATACTCTCCCAACAAGGCGATTTCCTATGCATTTTCGATGACTTTGAAGTTTGGAAATGCAAAGCCAAAAACATCAAGAAATTTAAGACCACATTACATCTTCGAGAGCAGCAAGAACGTTTGTTTGAAGCTTTTGAACATTGGGAGGAATGGCAAATAAGAAATGGCTCAAGCATGGAAAGCTAGACGATTAGTGCAGAACGGAGCAATAATTTGCATTTTTCCCCATACTCTGCACTAAATTTTGTTTTCAGCTCATCGTCTGGATGTTCATATGACATTCAGCTCTATAATGATAAAGCTTTTAGGCTGAAAAACTAGATCCTTACCGTATCTCAATCTTTGAAATCTGAAACCTTGAATGGGAACTATCATGACGTGCTTAACCACATTTTCTTGAGATTGCAAAGTTTTTACCAAAGAAAAATGCAAATGTATTCCGCGGGAAGAGTGGCGATTTTGAATTGAAAAAAGTTCTACGTATTTCCAACAAAAATCTTCCCGAGTTTTCTACGAAACAGCTACAAACTTGCATGCACTTACACGAAGTAAGTGTTTTCAGTGAATTACTACTACGTGTTGATAGCTGAGTAAAGTCATATGGCGACATTTGCTTGACATTTGAAAAGCTACAAACGCTGTGTCTGCCTAATTACTTACATTTATATCGCAAGCAATGATACAATTTAATCTGTTTGCAGAGGAAGTACTTCGCATTAGTAGTACTTGTGATACAAATTGTCATAGACTGGCACATGAGTATCTGATGATGCAGCTGATGGTTGTGAGAAGGTTTGCTTTGAAAAAGCCTTTTTTAAATCCGATTCTGAATGAAAAAAAATACCCGAAAGAAGGGTCGAGCAAATATACAAATATTTGACAGTCAGAAGCTTATGCGCTTTCCCTCCGATGAATCCGGACAACGGTAAATTTTACATACACACTCATTTGGTTGTCTCCAAGATAGACTGTGCCCCTCTAGGATTGTAGGACTGTAGCGTTACGGTAGCTTATCCGACAAACTCTGGGTTACTGCAAATCTTTATTTGCGTACATAACGCTTTCTACTAGTGAGTTGATGGCAAACTATATGCCGTAATTCCTTGAAATGACCCTGTGATAGACCTCCTCATAAAAGAAAACCCTTGGAAATCTGCGTTTTCGACCACGATTGGGCCAATTTCAGATAAAACAGTAAAAGAATTGCGGCCATATAGTCAGAAACGACGGCCACCTACAGTATGCGGATTAACTCCGCAAGACCACCATGAAGACAACCAATCATTTTCGTAGGAAATGCATAATTTTAGTCTGCGTGGTGTCATGCCAACTGTCAACTTTCATAAAAACAGTCATGTCAACTGTCAACTTTCATAAAAACAAATTCCTCGGAGTTATTAGATCACGTCATTGTGTTCTTATAATCGGATATACCAAATTTACCCTGATTTGCTTGATCGAGATAGGAGACGACATCTACGGTCATTATTATGACCGCAAAGGACAACTTGAAGCACCAACACTGACAGCCGAAGGGAAATTGCCTGCCCTGGGGCAATCCGCTTCTAATTCCACATTTTTTTTCTCCAACACAAATGAGCGACTCTGATTAATGAAGTCGGATTAAGATGTCTTATGAAGCATGCAAAGGCTCTAGCAATGGCTATGGCGAAGAAGGTAAAAAAAAAAGAGAAGAGGAAAAATGAACGAGCATCTGACACGTACCTCGGCTTAAAATGCTTTCGGGTGATGTAACCTCGTAGACTGCTTTGAAGTCGTACGATGAGCTCAGCACGCCAAGCGATTTTCTTTGCCACTGAAAAAAACTAATTCATGGGATTTTCGTCCATTAACATTGGGAACAAGTAATCCGGTGACATGAATCAGAATCCAAAAGAAATGTAGTCAGCGTGTCCGATTTCAGTCTAGGCAAGTATTGAAATTGACAAGCAAAAAGAAAAAAAAAGCTTTTAAAACTCATTTAATCAGATTTTTTCCAGAAGAGACCTATAGAACCGCGTACTTTTGGCTTTATTTAGGCTTCAGTAACGGCCCCAAATATCTTGTTCACTGATAGGAAGGGGGGGGGGGGTCGAAAGAAGGGGGAAAGGGGTGGGGAGGAAGAGCCTAGATGGCTATACACCCTGAAAAAAATTGGAACCCCCTCGAAATTCTAGCGAACTTGACGCGCAAAAAAATTCTACAGAATCAATTGAATTTTCATTGAGCCATGAGATAATTTTGATTAATCATGAATAACACAAACTTGTAGATGTACACAACTCGCGCAGATCATTTTTAAAATTTTTGGGACCCATTTTTGGGACTGCCGGGCTTAACTTTTAATCGACTGATTGCAGATCGAATAAATTAAAGGAAAAATAAATTAAGAGAATTTTAAACGTTTGGTTTAGTTGCGCAAATTTAGCCTCTCTCTCCTCTGGTTGTTTGGAAGAAAAGCAGGCAACATAAACCCGCATCAATAATTACTTTGTAGGCTGCCTTCCGTTCTTCCTTCCGTGTTTACAACAAAATTGAGAGACTCAGCATTTCTAAATATAAACAACAAACATTTTTCTATCCCTAGCAAGTCCGAACTTTCCAACTTCGAGACAATCTATTTGCACAAGTGCAAGTCTGCACTATTTTTTCGAGAAAAGTAAATGCAAGTCTGCACCGTTAGAGAAAAGTGCATTTCCACATTTGCCTCAAATCTATCACTTTTTGCAAGCATCCGTTTTCGCAGCCCTCATACGCATAATCTTTTCCTAAACTACTACCATAAATAAAGAAGATGAATATGAGCACTGGTAAACGTAAATGGGAACCCATTTTGTGGAAGAAAAATGACAAAGAAGTAAGCCATATGGATGGCTTTCAAAGAGGATTAGAGCAAACCTTTTGCAATTTATCCAACACTAAAGCTAAAGGCAGCTCTAAGCAAAGCTAACACTAAGCTAACACTTTAAAGAAACCGAAAAGAAAGCCGAGTCATCGAAAAACAGTGGAATGCATCAGTTTGCGGGGAGGAGTTTGCAAATGCTAATTCAAGGAACAAACATCGTCCGAAACAACAGAGATCTGGGCTTAAGGGATTCATCTAATTTGAGATTCTGGCCAACGATTGCACAGGAGGAGAGGGATAGAGGGAGGGGAGGGGGGGGGGGTCAAAACCGAATGAGCATTGGAGTAACAAGATTATTTACGAGTGGATCACATGATGACAACAACACAATGTGACAAGCGAATCCTATATCTGGCAATAGAATTCAATTCGAACGCAATGAATTCCAGACATCCCAGCGTCACACTGGCCACATCTTTTTTTCCAAAATGGAATTTTCAACAAAGATTCTAAACTTAGCACGCATGTGATTAGAAAAATTGTACACTGAAGACGTGGTAGTCACTGCAACACAAAATGCGAATGAGTTTGATATAATCGGTATAAGAAAACGAAGAAAAAAACTATATATTCGCTGCTTTGAGGAACAGAATAAGAGTACACTTATACTATTCAGGCGGATTTACATAATATGATTATCTCTGAAGTAAGCATAGTTGTCATCCCATTATTGCGAAGGAAAGCGCTCAAAACAGCCATTCGATGTAAAACAGCGGTGGGCAATTTTCCTATCAGCCTTGAACATTCGGTATAGTGAGCACTGTCCAAACATCCTAAGCCCTGGACTCCTTAAGGGCCGGGCACACTTCACGCGATTTCAGTCGCGACGCGATTTGGTAGTATTCTAAGTGTCCATAACTCATTGTAAGCAGATTTTGAATGTATGGAAGATGAGGCATTCTATCAATCCACGCATGTTATACACACTATGCATGCGCAGTTTGCTAATGTTGGATCTGAAGACTTCTGGCGAATTTCCAAATCGCGTGAAGTATGCCCGGCCCTCTATACGAAACACAAAACCTTATTGCAATATTGTGCAGCTGCTCATGGCGTTGTGTTACTGCAACTCTTTTTTCAAGTCAATGCAGCAGCGCAATTTTTATGCCGTATCAATGTTGAGCAGTTTTTGTGCTCTTGCATTGTGCAGAACCATTTTGCTATAGTGTTATGTACTGCAGAGTCTATATTCTCGCTGCAGCATGCAACCCTTTTAGCTTTGCTTCAACGTGAAGCAGCCTTTCTCTTGTTGCATTGTTCCAATACCGCTTTACTTATGTTACTGCAGAGCAATTCTATTGTCTCGCTGCAGCATGCAACCCTTTTAGCTTTGCTTCAACGTAAAGGAGCCTTTCTCTTGTTGCATTGTTACAATACCGCTTTACTTATGTTATGTTACTGCAGAGCAATTCTATTTAGCTGCAGATGCATCCCTTATGGCCATGAAGCAGCCCTTCTGTCGTTACATTGTTGCAGGAAGATGGCTGTAGTGTTCTTGCTGCTATGCACCAGTGCAACTCTTATGGCACAGCTTCAACGTGAAGCAGCTTTTTTGTCATTGCACTGTTGCAGGACCACTCTGCTACAATGTTATGTCACTGCCATGCAAAAGCGCAACTCTCATGGCATAGCTTCAACGTGAACCAGCCTTGCTGCTGTTACACTATTGTGGCTACTCTGTCTGTTGTGCTACTGTCGAGCAACTGGGGAACGGTCAGGAGTCACGGTCGGCGCGAATTTTTCGCGAAGCGATGCCGCAAGGGATGTCAGCAAAACAGAAGCTAGCTGTGGTGGCTCCGTGGCTTTCAGTGCCTTAGGCGGAAATAGCGCCTTTGGTGGAGCAATGTAGATGCTGGTAGACAAGGTAGTTCAGCAGCTTTATTGAGTCAATCAACATGCCCGCATGGGTGCAATGGTAGAATGCTGTAGATTGTAGGCGTGACGAAATAACATTACAAATATCTGGACAGAAATATACTCGTATCACAGCGGGTCATGCTTATGGCATAATCTTTACGGTGCTTGTACCAGAATAATGATAAGTTGTGAGGAAGGTGCCGACAATGTCGGCACACTAGCATTCCTGGCGCAGTCTTACTTATGGCACGAGCCATGTATCTGCCCCCACCCCCCACCCCCCTAGACTGGCGCCGTGCCACTTTAGCTCCGGGCAGTTTTATGGGGTACAAAATTTAGACGCGACGTGCGCGGCGAAGCGGCGCGGCTCGCGGCGTGACTCCTGACATGGAGCCGAGCAACTCGCGAGACGGTCGAATGGCGCGTATTGATCGATTGTCATTAACTGGGAGAAGCAAGAAATAAGTTCAAATTTATTTCAGTACTTTCCGATTTCAACTGGTCATCCTCCATTATGCTTTCTAATGTACTGCCAAAAGTCTCGGAATCTGGTAACCTCGCTGTTGTAGAGAACTGATCTAGTCTCGAAATGAAGGCTTAGGGGACGCGCGCCTTTCGACATACACCCGAGCAACTCTTACTCTCAACTCTCGAGTCTCTGCAACGCGAAATTCTTATAATGTAGCTTCTATAGTGGTCGTCAATGCGTATTGGTTTTCCCTGTCGCATTCCAGCCTCAACATGACGTTGGTGGAGCGCCGCATCGTTTCGGGCTTGCGCCACGTTGCAGACGCCCGTTTGGCGTGGCGTGACTAAGAGATGGCCTCAGAAATAATGCAAGAAAGTCTTTGCCACGTTTTTCTCGTCACGCCACGCCAAACGAGCGTCCGCTACGTGGCGCAGGCCGAAGCGTGACGGTGCCACTCCAATCCACGTCATGTTGAGGCTGGAAGGCATACGGTAGAAAAGATCAATAATTGAAAACGACTGTACTTCCTCAAGCAGCCTTGCTGCTGTTGCATTCTGTTAAGCTACTTGTGGTGTTGTGTTACTGCAAAGCAACCACAGGTTCCTGTCATTGCAGCAGCGCAACTCTTATGACGTACAACTTGACGCAGTGCTGTTGCATTGTAGCGGGACTATCCGTTTTAATGTTGCATAACTGCAAAGCAACTTTACTAAGCATTGTAACAGGACTACCCATTTTGGTGTTGCGCAATTGCAAAGCAACTTCAACACACATTGTAGAGGGGCTATCCGTTTTAGTGTTGCATAACTGCAAAGCAACTTTACTAAGCATTGTAACAGGACTACCCATTTTGGTGTTGCGCAATTGCAAAGCAACTTCAACACACATTGTAGAGGGACTATCCGTTTTAGTGTTGCATAACTGCAAAGCAACTTTACTAAGCATTGTAACAGGACTACCCATTTTGGTGTTGCGCAATTGCAAAGCAACTTCAACACACATTGTAGAGGGACTATCCGTTTTAGTGTTGCATAACTGCAAAGCAACTTTACTAAGCATTGTAACAGGACTACCCATTTTGGTGTTTCTCACCAAAATGGGTAGTCCTGTTACAATGCTTAGTAAAGTCTCACAACTGTAAATCGTGGGGAAGAGTTTGAGTTAACCATCACCTCTTGAAACTCGCACTGGCTATTATGGAACGCACCTAAACTTACGCAGGTATAGTCTTTGGATGACTCTTCAATCGAGTAGCCGCTAGGTAATCCCAAACGATCCCAATTCCTTCTTCATGCGACTCACACAAGCTTCAAAAAATTTTGAATTCTTAAATTACTCTTCGCTATGTTTTCGTGACATACAAACTCTACACAACGACAGATTGAGCGGACTGTTATAACCCATGATAGTAGAAAGAAACTGTCAGTTGCAATGCTGATGTTTGTGGTGATAGTAGGTTGGCTTTGGGAAGTACATACATGCATTGTGAGATTACGGAAACAAAGAGATGGGGAAGCGAGTGAAGCAGCTTAGGTTGAAATAAGTAAGCTGTAACGATAATGACTTGCTCGCAGGTGCAAACAAAAAATACCAAAAATCATTGATTCAGACACTTTCAAAAGTTCAAAAATCGAGGAAAGTCTGTAAAACAAACCGATCCACAAAACTGATCGGCCTTGCCCACTCCATAGAGCAGTCATAGCGAAGAGCAATAAGGGAAGAAAAAAGTAGAGAAAATGGGGCATATGCTTCCGCCGCTTCTCAAGAATCAGCAATAATGGGTGCTGCTGTCGGAAAGCCTGGCATTTTTGGACGAACAAGAAAAGTGGCCACCAACAAACAAGTGATTATGCATGGAACAGGGAAGTGGATAAACGCAGACGATTCTCTTTGCCCAAAAAAAAGCCACCATGAAATTTCTGCTCGTTAAAAGCATATTCATTTCAAAACACAGATCAGGACTTTACAGATAAGAAACAATTTGATACCTATTCAAAGGTATAGGAAGGAATGCTTGCCAGTGAAATGCATGCTGGAAGGAGAGAATTATCTGACAATGAGCAGGGATGCATTCAACCGGAAATCCAATATTGTTCTCACATAAATCACCTTGCTCGGTCTTGCTAAGCCCTTCTACTGCAAGTGAACGCTAGTCTTTGGTTTCTCTTCTGCTCAGAAAAGAGCCTGGCCCTATCCGAATGAATTTCGACACCCCGTGCGTTGATTATAGTAATAAATTCGTCATAGTTAGAGTATCTAAAATTAGATGCTGACACCGGATGACGTCTGTGATCATAATAATGCAAAGTGGAAAATGCAATATAGCGAAATTTTGCACATAAAAGCTACTAATGCAGTAATAAAGCCTCCTCATGACAGAAAAGGACTCTAGAGAGCTAATTAAATGGAAGAGAAGTTTTTGAAAGAAATATGTATATAAACAGCATCAATGATTTTTCCTAAATTATCCTGCATCTGCAAAATGGTCCCTTGAAGAAGGAAAGGATTTCTATTGATATTAATTTTGCAAGGTGATTGATGGTAAAATTGGTCAGCAGTTCAACTAGCTGAATCTAATTTGAATGGTTCCCAAAGCACTTGCGAAAAAAAATGCAAGAATCCATCCTGTTTGTAAATCCATCACCAACCATATCTCTAATTCCTGAGTACCATTTAGGGTCCCTCGTGTAAGTTAATTTTGTATAGAAATGTGGATCTTTGCTTGGGTTCAGTTTTATTCTTGAGGTAAATCAAATGTTCGCATGTTCTAACTTCCTCAGAATTGAAACAATGCAGAGGAAAATGCTCACGAATTATGCATTTTCATTTCCTAGCAGAAAACTCGTCACGACATCAAGCTTCTACAGCAAGAGATGACTGAATGTAAGGTTTTATGTAATTAGAGTTACCATATTTTTTTCTAATAGAAACTATGTTGGTACGAAAAAGGGCAGAAACGCTTATTCCCACTATCAAACGAGAGAAAAGCATTAGGATCGCAAAAGCTAATGAATAGCAGTACAATGAATGTTCATTAGTATACCGCTTTATCTAAAGCAATCTGAGAGTACACCTGCCCTGGTGATACAAAACATCCATTTTCATTCAAATGACTCTGAAACTGAGCTTGAATATCATTACAACATAAAATTGAGCTTTGTTCAGGGATCAAATGCCATTTTGAGTTCGTACTTTAGAATGTAGTGCTTTCATGATTCACCACATAAAGGAGGAATAGGGTAATTCGTTCAAAATGTCAAACTCGTTAAATGGATCAAGTTGATCTTTCTAAAAGGCCAGTGTTCCCCTTGAAAAGACATTTCTCCACGAAGTGTTTCAGGAATCCCAAAAAAGCGATGTGAACCTAGTCGAGAAAGTAAAGTGGAAAGTATAGCGAAGCTGGATGTATTTACGCCAAACAAGAATTTCACAAAACAGTGCAAATAAAAATACGATAAAAGACGTAGCCATATCTAAAGTGTTTACTACGAAGGATGGGAACCACGTATGGCTATAAATATGTTCCACAAATTAGATCTACTATAGCACATACACTAGAGCCTCTGAAACTATTTTTGGAGACGGGATAAAAAAGGAAAGAAATACTTTCAGACTTCAAGAAAAGTGATACTTAAGCTGTGTGAACATTCTAAAATAGAATAAAGCTCAATTTCGAAAACGACTCTCACTGAGCAATGAGTCTACCAGAAATGACATCACTCGCCCTCTATGTTTATGGAGACTCAAGTCTTCAAAGTCAACCTCAGTGATTAAACAAAGCTCATGACCTCGGACGTTTGGGATGAATCTCCAGGGGATACCTCGCGACTACCGACGACATTAGAAGAGAGCAGACATCAAAAGAAGAAAAAAGAAAACTGGTCTGATTCGTCTCGTTAAAGTTAATGAAGAAGATCATCTATCTCATAGATTAGTTCCTAACTGACTGCCTATACGGTATGCATACGGTAGTGTGGCAGCAATTGTATGCCGTAGTGTAGCAGTAAAGAAATGACGCTAGCCACGTAAAATTTTATGGCTGTAATGGCCAAAATTCAACTTCGAATCTTTTGCTACCTAGCCATAGCAACCTGCTTCAAAAAAAACTCGAATGCAAAATCTTCTTTAGAAACCGAAGAAAAATAAAAATCACTGCCTAGCAGTGGCAAAGTCCAGAAGGAAGCAATGCCAGTGCCAAGCAGAGCCGATCCAGACACACCTAATTGAAGGATCGAATCAAATTTCCATTGGCAAATGAAGCATTTGGAGAAAAACACGTCCATTAGCTAGTGGATATCGTCTGCTGTGCGGTGAAACGATGCAGTCGGTGGGAGAGCACATTTTGGGGGCGGAACTGGTCGCTGGACCGTAAAAGGGTAAGAAAGGAGAAACGAGCTCACATTTTATTACGCTCCATGCGCCATACTGGGCTTTGCGCCAACGAGCCTTGAGTAACCAAGAACGTACTTTTTCGATCAGTTTACGCATGTGTTCAGGATCTTGTCGTAGTAACTGGAATCAGGAGTGTTCGATTTTTTGTTAAGCAATGAGAGAAGTAACAAAAAAATCCTCACTGAACTCATATATAATTTTTTTGTAAATGCCTTTCTAAAGTTAATTTTCAAGTGTTCAAAAGTGGCTATTAAATTTTTTTGTTTACAAAGTTTTTTTTTCGCTATCATTAAATTTTTGAGCAAAGTTAGGCTAATTAACCATAATTACAACGCAATTACACTTTTTACAAAACTATGCACTCAGTGAATTATATTTTTGTTTAGCTCATCTTCTTCTGCATATTTTCACGTATCTTGCGGGACGGGCTTTTCGCACCGTTACAGTATTCTCAGTAATACTTACCTGGTCAAATTCTGCAAACTTTCCAGGTCTGAAGAACACCTTTGTCTGTCCGAATTTGTAGTCGATATTGTTGAGTCCGAGAGCACGGAAAAGGCACTAAGGAAAATTTACTGTAGAAAAAGGAGAATACCGTGAGAATAAACTAAAGATCATTATAAAAACAAGAGAAAAACTAAAAAGCTTATTAGGACATAGAGATGTTCTCTTGAAACCTTATATGAGATTAATTATTCGAGTTTTTACCTTGCAAAACAGTCGTGGATCTAGCCGAGCCAAATCCGGTGGCAGTTGTCGTTGATACATTGAATAGAGATCAGCAAACGAGGTTCTGAAGACTTCCACTTCATGAAATCAAGATTCTTTGTACTTTCACCCCAACCTTGATGGAAAGCCTTTCTGCATCAGTTTCAGAACACTAGCCATGCCAGCACATTTCAGTTGCGATAAAATAGCTGCTCCATCGCAAATTTGTGGACTCATCGAAGAGTTCGGCTTGACGCAACGCACGAAATGAGTACCCTTAACTTTTTGAGATAACTGTCTTGATTTGTCCCCGAATTTCCTGCGAAAAACTTTTTGATTTTCAAAAGAGTTGCAACTTAATTCCATTTTCACAAAAATACTGCCTTTTCAAACTAGCTGCTAAATTTTTCCTCGTTTTAACTTCGGATTTGGAGCCTAGGGCGCCCTGGCGCCCGCGTCATGCATAATGTGCAACTACATCATTACCCTAGAAATAGTTCGAAATTGCCTAACTTGCATAACTTAGGCAAATTTTAATAATTTCATACACGATTCTTCATGAAAACTACTAGCTCTTCTGGAAGGCTTTTTGGAGCTCCCAGGACATTCTTGTAAATCCCTACTTCAAACAGCACATATCACTACAAACCTCTTGTCACCTACCGTGTTCCTCAATTTTTCCAATAGGATCATCAGTTGACTGCGGAATTTTCCTCCTACACTTGCTGCTTGTAATCTGCTACTCGAGCTTCGCTTCCCTCTCGTAGGTTCTGGTATATGAGCTCCTTCGAACAAACTGCGAATGAATTCCACGCTGAAAACACCCATCTACTTCATAACGAACACTTCTCCAGCAGAAAACAGCTCTATCAAACAAACCTGCTCTGTTCCACTAAAAATTCCAGCGAATTGTGTAGCGTATCATTGTTTTTCTCGAGGAACTGTCCCGTCTCATAGCATACTGTTCCAGCATAATGTCTGACGAGGAAAGCTTCATCCTCTCTTAGGTCACGATGTTGACGCAGACGAGATCGTCTAGGGCTCTAAAAAATGGGTCTTTTTCAGAGAAATCAATCTATCCCATCAAACTAATCAAGAACCGAAACTCTTTAGCGCTTACTTCAAGTCGGAAATGTCCTTTGTTCGCTTCATAAGCAGCCAAAGTGTAGTGCTGAGGACTTGGTCGAGGCAAACGAGCTTCTTCGTCTAGTAAATCTAGCAATCCTGATGGTTTTCTTTCGAAAAGTTCTGAAACAATGCCTCACTTACAAAAAAAAAGTAACTCAAATGGTAAAGTTGAAAATTCAAAATAAGAAGCAAGTTTACAAAAAGAAAATGGTCTTGAGAAGAAAAATTTGCTGAGGGAGGCTGTTCAAAAATTTTGAAAAAGTAACTAAGTAAAAGTAATTTACTTGATCTAATAAAGTTGGAAAACCAATACATCAAGTGATATTGCTTTTATGAGAACGTTTATGAGCAAAGAAGGTGAAAGATAGCTAACGATAAAATCGACAAAACTTTCGAACATGCATTTATTGGAAAAAAATACAAAAAACTGAAAAGTTAAAATCTCCATACCGATGCAGTCATGATTATCCGAGTATTCAATTCGTGGCACATTCAATCCCTCTTTGGCATACAGTTCCTGTTCTTGTTTCAAAATTCGCTCATTGAAAAAGTGTTGCAATTTTTCGTTGCAGAAATTGATGCAAAACTGCTCAAATGAGTTCACTTCGAAAAATTCTGCAAATGCGAAATTACAACCCATATGCTTGAGACGGAAAAAAATCAAGCATACCAAATCCAGCAATATCCAACACACCAATATAGCTGACACTTTTCTCAAATGGAATTGATTTATTGATTCTTGCAACCAGCCAATCAAACAACCGCGAATATAACGCTTTAGCTAATGCATCTCGTCCAGCCGCAGCTTCATAGGGCTTGAGTGGAACTCTAAAAGGTCGTAATAGGTTATAGTATGCAATATTTGGCGGCCAAGTCAGTGAACACAAACCTAATTAATGTGCCTTTAACTCCTCCTTTCGTAGCCTGCATAATCCTCGACACAAGTCCCATCCTCAGTTCTGACATCTCCATTCCAAGCAACTCGGAAGCAATGTTTAGAGACATTTCGGTAGCCGGATCCATCTTACATCCTCCTAAACAAAACTCTAGATCATTCGATCAAGATAACCGAACAGAAAAATCAAAAAAAAAATTTCGAGAAACATGAAAAGCATGACATACGGCTGAAGAACAGCTAACCTCGACTATCATCCACGCTATCGATGAATTCAATATTACCCAGATGGAGTACTCCGGCTACAGTACGCCATATGTCAAGAATCTGAAAAAGTGTCATTAAAAGTATTTTTGAGGTTTGAAACAAAATTATACGAATTTTGGATAGATGCTGGACATGAAATGACTTCTAAAGACTTTTCCAGATCAAACAGCTCAAAATCGCCCTTATGAGTTTGGACAAGGAACCTTCGTATAGGAGCTCAAACTCACCTCGTCTTTTGAAAGTCCAGCTCTCCCCAGTGCATCATTCAAATGCAAGAAATCTGCTGCATCGTCCACAATTGAATCTGTCAGCATGCCTGTTTTTCTAGCCTGTAACGAATTTAAAAATATGAAGTACATTAATTTCGTGGTAACTTGAATTTCCACTTGTTCGCTGAGCCGATCCGAAGATATCTTTGATTTCGAGCCAGGTCGAAGGAAAAATGTCGTTGTTCCTCTCTTGAGATACTGAAACTGGCTTTTTACTAAAGAAGGTAAACCAACCAAACTGAGAACAACAAAAAAGAAACTGAAAGTAAAATAACCTTGAATTTATCAGGAGGAGCCAGCCGTAGCCTTTTGTAGAGATCACTCGGTGAGCCAGCGATTAGCTGGTAGAAGATATGATAGTTTCGTTCTCCACTGGCCTGACGGCATAGCCTGGACTTCTCAAGGAGGTAATGTGACACAAACCCGCCGGCTACTTTATCCTAAAAGATGCGAACTTCCTAGAATCAAGCAAAATGAAAAAATAAAAGATAAAAATCAGTAAAATATGACAATGGGAAATCAGAATAAAATTAATCATGAGAATAAATAAACTTACATCACTGCCAAAATGAATCTCGACAAATTTCCCAAAACGACTCGAGTTATTATTACGAAGCGTTTTTGCATTACCGAATGCTTCCAGAATCGGATTAGCTAAAAATCAGCAAGAAATGGCTGCTGGGACGAGTTAGGACCATAGTAACAGAAACGTAATTGTCGGGGATAAAAAAATGGAAAAGCTTACTTTCAAGGATGCGTTGCTGAATGGGACCGGCTGTAGAACCCCAATTTTCACACAAATACCTGAAAGAAGGTTGATTGGAATAAATTCCAAAAATGGGAACTTCCGCAGGATTTCCACGTCAGACTGGTTGAAAACGGAATTTCCGCAGGAATTTTTACAAAGCGCTGAGGAAGTTCCGAAAAATGCCAATGATTCGCAGCACTTTGGCCTGTCAGTACTTCCGCAAGACTTTGAATGCCGCCAAAACGCCGCGAAAAATCCGAAAAATGCCAGCGGTTCCGCAGCACTTTGACATGCCAGTGCTTCCGCAGGGTTTCGAATGTGTTGTCTCGTATGATGTTTCCTGGCCAACAGCTAGAGTGCATTACCGAACATGTCATCCGTAGTGCAGAAGGTAGTAAAAGAGTCTCGCAGTCATTAGAGTAAGGTTCAAATCTCGCTTAGGTGTTCTCTTTTGCTGTTGTGGTTCGCACTGTTTGGAACTTCCGCAGCATCTCATTTGGGAACTTCTGCAGCTCGTCTACGGAACTTCCGCAGGTGACCCGGAGGAGCTTTCCCAAACTTCTGCGAAAGTTCCAGTCAGCTGTGTGAAATATTACAAAAGTTCTTCTCAAACTAAAAATCCATTCACGTTCTAGGTGTTTTCCAGGAATTTGACCTGATTTCTTGATTTTTGGATTTTTGCTTCACACTCCTCCCTCCCACCATGTCTCACTTCTCTTCATTGTCAAAATCTATAGCGTAACTGTACCTCAGAATAGCCTTCTGTGACTCCGTCTTTCCAGCTCCGGATTCTCCTGAGACAATGATCGACTGAGATTCCTTGTTCCGTCTCATTTCAAGATATGCTTTGTCAGCTGTAACATAAAAACTAACTTCATATATTGTCATACGCAAAGACTGCGATGTTTATACTGTAATCTACCAACATTTAAAACTTACCAACTGCATAGACATGTGGTGGCAATTGTCCTAGTGATTTTCCTTTGTACTTATTGATCGTTTCTTTCGAATATAGTCCTGGGATATCTTCATAAGGGTTTATCGATATCAGTATATTCGCTACGTAAGTCTGAAATACAAAATTAGCCAAGAAAAGCAACAAAATAATGGTTTTCTCACATAAATTTGCTTTTTGGAGTATCGCTGCCGACAGTTGTTGAGAAGAGTGCCTTCGTTGAGATACATCAATGCACCTAGATAAGCAAATTTCAGGGTTCGTACCTCATGTTCAAACATTCTTGCAAAAGCAGAGTACACCGAAATGTTACTAGCAAGAAAAAAGTCAAATTGATAAAAAAAAACTTATAAAAGTTCAAAACTTACGAAGTAAAGAGAGGAATAGATAAAGAAAGTAGATAAAAACCTACAGTTGTCATCTACAGTCTTCCTAGGATCATCTTCGGCAGGAAACACCTCATCATAGCTAGCTTTTATCTGAAAAGTCTACCTAAAGGCGGTACTCATGTAGGAGCCGGTAACTGGGTTTGTTATCTGAATATTTAGGGGAACCCTTGGTGGAGCAATAATCCAAGCAGTACCTAATACGAATCATTTGTGCTCGAGAAATTGATTTTTGAACTCCGGGCCAGACCGTACTATCTACCGTACCCAAACACGCTGACTGGTTGTTCTAAGAACGATATGGGCTGCGGTTTAGCGCTGAATTTTTTGAAGACGAATGAGGCAGGATGCTACGATTTAGAGTTGTGAAATCATATTCCCAAGAAACCCTTTGCCCAGATCTGATTAAACACTGCTTTATGCGCTCCAAAAACTGACTACTTACCTGCCCTTTCCCATCCTTTCTCGCTACTGTGATGTTTTCTGAGCCAATGTCTTCCAATGTGCCAAGCACATAACCTTCGTGTATGTCAGGGGCCCACACAAGGCGACCGAAGTCCCGCGCCGCCATCTCTGAAAATTTTGGGCTTCAATAGATCTCGTGATGACAATGCACTTCTGAATTGGAAGATCTGCACAGATGAGTGCGCAAAGATCTTTGCACTAGTAGACTATGGAGATGTAATCCGAAACGAGCACCTAGCCAAATTAGCAGACCGATCGGCGGTAAGGTTAGTAATTGAATAGTCCTCACCACCACTTAGCACTAATTGGCAATTAGTTCATTGCTTCCACAAACATGGCAAAGTAACCATTTATATAGGTCAGATATCTAGAAACAAAATATTTCAAGAATGACTTACTTTCATCACCATTGCGTTGTCGAGGGTGAATAGTAGAACGAGCACTGGCTTTTGGTGGTACTGTCATTCCTATAAGACTTGCTTTTTCGGGTGGAGATATAAAACAACATGGAATTTAAACGAAGGGGAAATGAAAAGATCAGGCAAAATTAGTTGAGAAAAGGGGTCAAGTATGTGAGAATGTTTCAATTAATAGATCTGAGTTCCACAGAAAGAAGTAGATCAAGATTTTGATTGAATGAAGGTTTATATTTTTCACAGGATCTTGCATACAGCTTAGAAGTCAAAGAAATTTCTCAGATGTTGCTACACATTGATATAAGAGAGGAAAAAAAGCAGTTTTCATTTAAACCTGGGGTACTTTTCTTTTCTGCAAACATCTGGTATAAACTATGCTACCAAAGAAACAGCAAATATGACATTCGTGATTGAGAGATCCGATTCTCTCACCCAGTACCGTAATTTCAAAAGTGTACAGAGCTTTGAAAGTATGTATTGGACAAGAGTACAGCTGTCTCAGCTACAAATGAATTATATAAGCTGTGGCTTGGCAATGGCTTAGCCTTGTTTTCTCAACTAATATACATCCAGGGACCAAGTTTCGACTAAAACTGCCTTCGAAATGATTGGCGCTTGGATTGATCAAGAATCTGCATAGTTGAATGTCTTGTATGAGGTTTTTTTTTCAAGTGGAACCATATTAAGTGGAACTAATTATTTGCTCGTTAAAGGAAAAATTAGCTATGATTAAAAGTTATGTACAACAAAAAGATGTGTCAATAACACTTGAAGCAAGGTCAACGATAAATGCAATGGATAACGTGAAAGAGAATAAAAGAGGAATTACAATGAATGACACAGGCTCAAGTGCAGCAAAAAATCCATAAGACCATTTTGAAAGTGTGAGCGAGCAATTACTAATACTAAGCATATGACACCTTAGCGAAATCACAGAATGACATAAAATGAACTACTCATCGCTCAATCGCGCAAGTGGTGCCCAAAGTAGTCAAAACCAGATTCCATATAAATGCATAGGTTATCGTAAAATATTGCTGCAGTGATAGTGCATACAAAAAAGTTGGTTCCACCAGAACCGTAAAGACAAACATTTGGTCATAACGCTCTAGAACGAAAACACAATGTCGCAGACTAGCCGAATAGCCTCTTCGTACTAGGCTACCTTTACAGGGCCCATGTTTCCCAAGCTCTAAAACCATTGAAACCTGTCGTTAACTCGAAATTACCAAAAAACTACTAGCGCTATTGGTTTCTAGCATCCGTTTTCGAACCGGACGAAACAATTTGACGAAACGCTGTGCTGTTTTTCCGCGAAATCATAGAACGAACGTCTCTCATTACGTTGTGCAATTAGTCATAAGCCGATTATCACATAAAATTACATTCAGCAAAAATCGTTACATTTGAGGGCCCCTAACTGGACAGCTATGGCAAGAAAAAAGGCTTTCATAAGAAAAGAGCAAGTAAAATATTGAATTCTGCAAATAGTTGGATTTTTTAGGGAGTCAGAGCTTGTGCTTCTACTAATTGCTACTACTACCAGTTCGATTTCTCTTTTTCTTTTTTTAATTTCAAAAATTCTGGCAGTGTTTTTATGTTTTTATTTTTCTGTTCCCTTTGCCTCTGGTGGGCGTACTTAGAGTACATCAACAGAATAAAATAACTGAAGAAATTTGTAAAACTGCAGGCACGTCTGGGCTACATAAGGAGATGGGAAAAAATTCTGAATGCTGAGGATAAAGAAACAATAGTTATAGCTTCGAGACCTTAAAAAAGAATTTTGAATGAATACTATGGTGGCCGGCCTTTCTGTCTTTCAAAGTCATCACTTTTTCGCGAAAAAAATGCTTTCTTCAAGTTCTTGATCACATTTCAACAGCAAAAATGACGTTCACATTGTGCAAAAATTTTAGAAACTCCAGTCCTACTACCAGTTAACTGAGTGAAAAATGCTCCAAAAGTGGCTAAAGGAACACTAGAAACATGGCTTTCCTCACAAAAAGTGCAAAAAAACCAGTCAACTAGAACAAGTGGCAAACACTACTGGTACAGTTGTATTCAGAGAACAGGAACACTTATGGCAGCATGACGCACTTCGACTGTAAATGTGAGCCCTCGCCATTGATTGCGTGTGATTATACGAAACTTATCAGTAGCTCATTGCGACTGAAAACCATTTATCAACTTCTGAGATAGAATGACATTATGACATTCACTTACGAAATCTACACGTTTTTTCCAAAAGCAGTCCTAAATTCAGCAACTTGCTTTGTAAGTTGTTCACGTATTCAATTTTTTTAGTTCTTTTATGGTCCTATCTATAGTTGCAAGTATAAGGACTCAGCCATAAGTGTTAAGTCGAGCTCCGAGAATGTGCTGACAAAAACTTCTAAACCTTCGCCTATGAAAAGCGGATCAATGGGGGAGAATGGGTATGGAAACCCCTAGACAATTATGTAAGTAAAGCAACGGCCTCGAGTACTTCAAGATCTCCGATGAAGCAGTGGCACTGATGATCAATGAATTTTTACTTTGATTAGTTCAATAAAAAATACTCGAAATTGCACACGCGTGCCAAAAACGGATCTTCTTACAATTCACTCTTACAAGAAAAGGATACTATTTTAAGCTGGCGATAAAAAACGAGATGTACGTCACTAGACGCGCTTCAAGCTGATATTTATTCCGCTTTCCTTTTCTGCGGAACAACTCACCAAGCAGTTACAACAGTTTAGTTTGAATGTCCAAATGTGTCGAGCTCTAAGTAGCCCAAAATTTGCGAAAAGTTCTACAAAAACCTCTGAAGGTGCGTAATCAGTTCGATACCAAGTATAAACTACAAAGAAGTAAGAAAGGCAGTGGAACCCCATAGATGTTTTTGTGCTTTCGCTAATTTTATGCAGCTCAAAGTTTGACCACTTTGAGCATCCAAACGCTCATAACTTTTTGCGAAGAGTTGTTCCCAAAAATAGGAAAGCTGATTTGAAATCAACGTTCAAAGACTCGTGTGATACACATCTCGTCTTCCATCACCAACTTAACTTGGTTTCCTCCCCACGATACGCTTGGTTTTACGAACTTCCGAGATGATATACAGGGCTTAATATGAGAAGAATCGATTCTATGGTTGTATCAACTCAATTTCTTTCAGCGAGGCGAATTTTTATGCATTCCACTACCATAATCTGTAGGGATACAGAGGCATATGCTCTGCACTTCCACTATGTACTAAGTAAGTCCGTGGAAGAAATGATGGAAAAGAATCGCCTTAATATGTAGTTCACCACGTCACCTTTGAAAGATTCAGAGCGAAGAAAAAGCAAAACGATGAGAACAAAAATTTTCGAAAAGACGATCTGTTTTCTGCAAAAAGCCTGAGATGAAAATGTCTACGGGAAAATTTTTTATCTGACTACATACGACTATTGTTCAAGAAATGTGTTGTAATGCATCCAGAACATGACATCACTTTTGGTTTGCTGCTGGACTGCGGATGAAATCATGAGAAAATGCCGTTGGTGAAAAATGCCGACCTGCCTATTCAAAGCCATTTCATGTAGACTCAACCCTACTCACAAATGTCCCTAACTGATGACTCAAAATCGTGACTGGATTTGCTTGGGTAACAAACATAATCTTTCGTGAGAGTTGTCTCAAAAACAAAAAGACTTTGGATCCTTCGTGAACAAATGGAAGAATTTACACAGATTTTCTTCTGCTATAGCGCCCAACGCAAAAGATTCTATAGCAATGGAAGTTTACAAGAAAAGAAGAGCCATCACGAAAAAGCATAATTTCCCCGTTGAAGAAACGATAGGTATAAGTAACTTTTCCATTGACAGTCATCAATCGAAATACGCACAGATGTTTCATCCAGAATGATCCGTTTTAGAAAAATGATAAATAGCACTACTATCACTAAGGAAGTTATCTAGTAACTGCCAGTGTCTTTCTATCAATGCGTTGTCTAGCTAAAGAGTGTTATACCCATAAAGTTGGACAAGGTAGAGAAAATAAAGATAGATAGTACAAGGATATGCCCTCTCTTGAAGTTCAAAACTAGAAAACAATAACAAAAGTACAATAGAGATGGCGACTAACGACAAATTGCACCTCATAATCTCGCTAGAAGTTTGAAAAGGAGAGATTTCAGTAATAATATTATCCTCAAAAATATCCAGTTCCTTTAGAGGTATTAATTGGCACTGTATTTTAGATAGCAAAGATTATGCAAGCAACACAGTTAAATGATCTGGAACAGAAAAATCTTGCAAAGTGAAAGTCAGATTTAGAAATTTACTGTCCGCAGATGAAATACTAAACCTGTATGGAAATCAAGGACTGGACTAGATTGACGGTGGTCCTTCCACTTAACTTTCAAAAAAGCATGTTTACTTCCAGTTCTGTCCATATACTACCTTCATGAAAGCAGTATTCAAAAAGAGAGCGAGCAAATACTTAAAGCACTTGCACTTTCAGATAATGCAAACATTTCTCAAATTTCGCTCAGGAAGGTACGTAAAATACCAAAGAAGGTCTCATAGCCCGATCTGGATAGGAAAGGCAGTATAATCAGTGCCTGACCTGATGGCTGCGGGAGAGTAAACACCAAGACGGATAAATAACGGACACGTTATTTATTTGACAAGACAACAATGAAACAAACGACAACAATAAGGACAGAAACGGGCGGGGGGGGGGGGGCGGAGAGGGAAACCGATGGTCAGCGCTGGGCATGATGGATTTTGGTACAATCAGAAAAAGAAATGCAAGAGTTTTGTAACGAAGCGAAGAAAAAGCCAAAAAAGACATAGTTCCTCAATGAAGAAAAATTAAGAGTCAGAAAATCAAAGCAACTCAAGAATAAGAGCGAAGTAAATTAAATTAAGCAAAAAAAACTAGTCACTAAAATTCGAGTGAGCGGATTTTACGAATCTCTACACATAACACTCTCATTTTCGCTCAAAAAAGGAATCTCCTAAAGAAATCGCTCTCTTAAATGAAAAAGGTCATCGAACGAAAAGCTGACCCTAAATATAGCGCTCGTTCG